TGAGGTATTCCGGATTGTAAATCCTTAAGCAAAGTGCCCACCATTCCCCTGTAGAGTGCCTGATAGATTCGAGCCACTGACCTTTGGGTTTGCAGCACAACGTACAAGACCACACCAGATGAGCTCCTCTGTAAAGATCCTCTCTCTTTCTCATTGCCATCAGGGAGTTCTTGTGGCCTGTTGGGTAAGGAGTTGTGCTGCCAACCCAGAAACAAGCAGTTCAAAGCTACTGATGCCTCCAAGGGAGACAGATGGGTCATCTCCTCCCATGAAGTTTTCAGCCTCCTCTCAACACCTACTGGCTTTTCGCTGCTCACGATGTAATGCACCACACCACGTGAGCTCCTTGAGAAAGGTTACACCTTGGAAATGCCAAGGGGCTGTCCTATACATGAATACAAAGAATATAATGGTCTACATTTCAACTGCTATGTGATCCCTCCCATGACCTAAGGCCTCAGAGAACTCTGCCTGCTACAAGTTGAAAATCCATCCAATGGAATGGATAGGAGTGGGAATTAACAGAAAGTGCTTAAGAGCTAAGACACGCATTCCATCCATCATTCTAACAAGGGCAGTGATAAATGTTTGTCTCCAACAATCTGCTTGCAGAACCCTTGTGACCTGCAGCCTCTGCCCTCATTTTCTGCAATTCTTGGCCCTTCCCTGAAGTTCTTGGAAACCTTTCAAAATCAAGGTCGCACAGATAAGAAGTGTCAGATTTAGGGCTTGAGCCCAAACCCCAGGCTCCCAGTTCAGCGTTTCTAACATCTGTTGGCCTCACTTATCCATAGTCCCCTGGACTTCTTCTCTTCAGGATCCCTTGAGCCTGTCATTGCCACACCCTTGTTTCTGAGTGTTGGACCCACATCCATGTGGATGGAAGAGTCTCTGAGGACAATGGAAGAGGGGGAGACAGCCTCCGGGACCTCTCTCAGCAGCAGCGTTTTACAAAGCTGTGCTCCTAAGCTCAAATAGCTGTCCTGAGAACGAAGCCCCCCTGGCAGCCTCCCTGAATCACACCAACCTTTCTTCAAAATCAAAACACAGCCACCACACCTCTTAACTGACCATTACTATCTGTATTGCATATCTTCTATTTTGCTTATTATCCCTCCCACAAATTCATGGCTTCTATGATGTTGGTCTTATGATTCTTCATTGCATTTTTATGCTTTTGTATTGTTCCTAGTATCCTGTTGATTATATCCATTTTATCTTGTGATGATATCTTTTTTTCTAATTGCTTCTACCTTTTTGCTGGTGGCTTCAACTTTTTCTTTCATTGGTTATATTTTCTTAAGTGCCAGTTCTTGAAATTCTAAGTCAGAGTATTTGTTTTCAACCTTCCTGTCTCTGGCATGTTCATTGTCTAGTCTGTGATCTGGTCTGCTTTTTTAATGTGAAGATTTAGGGGTGTGTGTGTGTGTGTGTGTGTGTGTGTGTGTGTGTGTGTGTGTTTAGTGTTTAATACAATCTTCTGCTTCCATGACATTGTATGGGCTTCTTTTGGGTGTGTCTGTGTGGCTACTTGTTCATTATCTGTGTGATGATGTTGCTCTGGGGTTGGTAGTGATGGCAAACGTTAAGATAGTGGTATGCCGTCAAGGTGAACAGATCAGCTGTTCTGAGCAAGTGGAGCTTCATGGGCTGGGGGCAGAGCAGGAGGGGAGGGAATGGTGAGAATCTGGGGTCTTGTATCTACAAGATAGTGTGGGCTGGTCTGTTAGAGCCAGTCAGTCTATATCTGCTGCTGTTCCCACAGTCTGTGTGTGTGGGGTTTTTGTTGGTTTTTGGTTTTTGGGTTTTTTTTGAGGGGTTTGTTTAGTTTTGATTAGGTTTTGTTATTGTTGTTTTTACATCAGGGGGTTTTTCTTGCTATGGGAATTTCCATACACAGTTTCCCACCCTCTGTGCAAGTGCTGGATCTTTTCAGAAATGCAGGGAATTCAAAATGTCTTGCTCTGGGTGTCTTCCTGCTTAGTATATGTAGATGACCCTGGCTGGCCCACCATAGGTGAAAGTTTTTCTTGCTCCAGCCATGGGAAATCTCCACAGTTTCACCTTCCTCAATGAAGGATTGCTGGAACTTTCACTTTCAGGTGCATGGGGAGAAAAGGGTTTTCGCTCTTGCATGGAGTTCTGATATGCTCCAGTAGGCATTTCTTTTTCTCCTTGTGGGAGTGGGGCTCCACTTGATTGGTCTGTGATGCTTATTATAAATTTACCCTCTATGCTATTATAACTTCTTCTAGTCAACTTTGATGCCTAGAGTCTTTCTAAAGTGTTCAGATTGCCTGTGGCTGGGGTTCTGTTAGAATAGCAATGTGTCCCTACTCAAGAAAGGCAAGCCCATCAGTCCGCCTTCTACTTGCCATCCCTACTGGAAGTCTAGCTGGTGATTCGAACCACCAACCTTTGAAGCATCAGGTGTTTTTACCACTGTGACCTGGGTTCCTTGATATATATTTGTTGTTGTTTTTAAGTGCTATCAAGTCGTATAAGATTCATAGTGACCTTATGAATGAAAGACCTGAACACTTGTATAACTTTCATCGTTTCTCCAGGTTCTTAGGGTTTCCAGAGGCAAGCTATTATGGAAGTGGATGCCACTCCTGCTTCCAAGCTTGTTTTAATCAGGGAGCCCCACCAAACACAGTCCACCATGATATGTGTAACCATTATCGCATTTGACACATCAATGTCAAATAGCTTGCCTCCGGAAACTCTATGAACTTGGAGAAACTATGAAAGATATATACTTATTTTTTAAATTTTTTTGTTTTATTATTGTGTGTGTGTGTACCATCAAATCGGATCTGACTGGTACAGGAGGAGATTGCCCCTTCTTCTCCAGCAGAGCATCTGGTGGATTCGAACCGCATAGCTCTGGGATTGCAGTGCAGCTTCTTGCCACTAGACCACCAGAGGTCCCTGAAAGATAGATAGTTAGTACACACAAAATAGTCTGAAGCTGGAGCTAAGGTCTCTGCAGTGGAGCCTACAAATCAGAGAGGGTTCAACAGTTTCTAGGGGAGAGGAGGTGATGGGTGGTGGAAGTGGCAGAGAAACACAGCATTGGTATGATAGGTAAGGTGCATGTGTAAGACTTAAACCAAGCAGAAGGGAATTTGAAAGGAAACAACCACAAAGAATGGAAGAGACATTTTCCATTTTACGTACAGTTAGGAAAACTTCTAAATTAAAAAAAAATATCCCAACTTTTAATTATTGCTTGTTTCAAACGTATTATGCATTCATTACATGGGAGCTCTGGTGTCCTGGTGGTGAGAAGCTGCACTGCAGTCCCAAAAGCACATGGTTCAAATCCACCAGAGGCTTGCTCTGTGGAAGAAGGATGGGAAATCTCCTCTCGTGTGATTTACTGCCTCTGAAAACCCACTGGAGGGTCAGCTATGAGTTTGTTCTGACTCTGTGGCACACAACAACAACATGCACTCATTAGAGAAAACACATTTAGACAAATCTAGACAAGTTAATCCCACAATCCAAATCTAGTCCACAACTCAGGGGTCTGGTCTTGGAGAGCTTTGCTCTAGACATTCAGTTAGTCCACATAAATTTCATAAATTAAGGCCCAAATTCTTCTAACAAGGTGTTGCAGTTGTCTTTCCTAGATGCTCGCCTGAGTACTCAGTCCCTTGCTCAGAGCGGAGATCTGGTCTTGATGACCTTGACCAGTCTGACACCTTGACTTTTCCCCAAGCCTCCTAGATTGATGAAGATATCTCCTGGGTCAATAGTTTTCATATATGTTCTGTACAGAGACCCGTGTATAACTGGAAACATTAGAACTGGACCTGGCAAAGGTGTATACAGAGGCTGGGAAAGGAACTGGATTGAGGGGCACAGGACACTCCCTCTCACAACCTCACCATAAAGGAAACACTGACCGAACATTCCTGGGCAGAGTCCAGTGTGAGAAGCAGCTGGTCAATACCTCTAATTTCCCCACCTAGCTCATAACCATGCCCTCTGTGTGAGCAGCACAAATGAGAATTAAATGAAATTGCCTTCGTGTTAAGCGAACAATCCCACAGAGCCCGAAGTGTGATGTCAGCGGTATACCTTGGACTGGACAAGGCAAGACAAGAAGGGAGCTCTTGATAACAGCGCTGCTGAGCCCTCCAGGCCTTGGAGAGCTAATTGTTTGTGCTAATTGTTTGGTGTTGGCTGAATGAGAAGCAGACATGTGGAAGCCGAGGCCCCAGCCTGGCCAGGTGCCTCCAGCCACAAGGGCCAGCCTGCAGGCCACACTGTAGGCATCTGGGGGACTTCCAGAAAGACCTCTATGTTCAACCTGGCTCGTTTGACTCCAGCTTCAGTCTTCCCCTCTGTGATGTTGAGTTAAACCAGAAAGTCTCAGATTCTCTTCCAGCCTCAAGAGATTCCCTGACTTTGAGGGGAATTCCCAGGTATGGGAAGGACCTTGAGTGGCTTTGTCTTCCACTGAGGCAACATGGAGCTTATTGAGAAGGACTGGTTCTAGGAATATGCGTGGAGGGGACGCATCCCAGGCTGGAGTTGGCATCATCTTCAGTGGGATAAAACAGCCTCTGTTTGAGTGGAGAGAGTGTTTGGGCATCCAGGACCGTGGGGCTGAGCACGAGGCAGGGAGGCCAACCAACCTGGGTTACTATCCCATCTCCTCCTTTTCCAGTGTCTTCAGGATAAAGGCACTGAGTCCTGTCTTCATGCTCAGCTTCCCATAGTTGCCACAGAAGAGAAGGAATTCACAGGAGGAGGGTCTGCTCCCACTGGAGCAGGCTCCCCTTCTGCAGGATGGAGGCCAGCCTCAGTTTTTGTTTCACCCAAACAAAAGGAAGTGGTCCCTGAGGACCAATCCCCCTTTCCCAGCACAGACTCTGGCCCCGGATTGGCCTCTTCTTGAGGGATCAGGGACACAGGTCATGCTTGAAGGCCAACTGGAGCAACAGGAGACGCAGGCATTGATGACCTCTGGTGCTGTCTCATTTCAGGGAACAGCAGTCACTACCAGGCCGAGCTCTGTCAGAAGCATCGGCAGGACCTGCCCCCTAGCAGATGCCATGGCGCCGCCCACAACACCCAGAAGGAGACCAGCAGCATGTGGGGCCTGATGGTGGTTGCTCAGCTGTTGGCTGGCATCGGAACTGTGCCCATCCAGCCATTCGGAATCTCCTATATAGATGACTTTGCGGAGCCGAACAACTCACCCCTGTACATCTGTGAGTTAATATGCTTAAAGAGGGTGGTGGACGGGGAGAGGACGTGGGGTCCTTGCTGAAGAGGGTGGTGAGGATGGGAGGACGTGGGGTCTAGATGTGATATTTGCTGAAGAGGGTGGTGAGGGTGGGAGGACATGGGGTCTAGATGTGGGACTTGCTGAGTCCCGTGAAGGGTAGAATCCAGCTAGAATCCCCTTACCCTCACGACTAACCGAGCGAGTGCAGACATGGGCCCCACAGACCGGAGACCGAGTCCTCCTCTTGTTTCTTTCCAACTCTGTGATCCTGGGCAAGTGACTGAACCCAGGGCCCTAGGTTCCTTACCTATGCAGTGAGGGTACTCTTTCTGATTGCACTGAACGTCTAGGAGCTTATATACGATAATGTATGCAGCCCTATACTGGGCAGGGAGTAAATCTTCAAACAACAGCCACTCTGGCGGCTCTCCAGTCCCTGGGGCACAGACTGGACTACACCTGTCCTTAAGATTGCAAATGATCATTTGAATGCTCAAATGTTTCCCTTAGAACAAGCCACATCCATCCCCTGTAGGCTGACACTTCTTGATCAGACTCTCTGGTCGCACACGCTTCTGCCCATGCCACCAGCCCTCTAGCCGCTGGGAGCTTCACCTGTCAACAGGTCCCAGGGTGTTGGCTTTAAATACCATGGGGCCCATTTTCTTCCTAGAGATACCATGAGTGTAGACTTGAGGGCATAAATGGGGACCAGAAGACAAATGGGTTGGCACATTAAGAATTTGCCTCAGCCAGGAAATCTGAGGGGGCCAAGCTGTGTCCAGCCCCTCAGCTTCCTCTCCTCTGCTCTGCTTCCAGCCATCCTGTTTGCCATCTCTGTGTTTGGACCAGCTATCGGCTACCTCCTGGGCTCTGTCATGCTGCAGATCTTTGTGGACTATGGCAGGGTTGACACAGGTGAGTGTTGAGGGAGGACACCCATTTCTGTCACTGTTTCTCAGAACATCCCCAGCTGTCTAGTCAGAGCAGCAAATGAAAAGATTTGGGGGTGAAGGGTGATGTCTACCTATCAGATCTCCCACTTCTTCCTGTTGTTGTGTGCTGTTGAGTAAGTCCCAACCCGTAGCTGACCCACCAGCAAGTTTTCAGAGACAGTAAATTGCAAGAGAGGAGATTGCCCGTCTTTCTCCCAAGAAGCAGCTGGCGGATTTGAACTGCATGCCTTTGGCATTTGCAGCGTAACTTCTTACCACTAGACCAGAGCCCCCTCCACTTCTTACTTAGTTGAATGATTTTCTGCAAGTAACCTTTTTCCCTATGCCTAGTTTTCTCATCAGTAAAATGAGGCTACTACTAGGAAAATAGGGAGCTCTAGTGGTGAGAAGCTGTGCTGCAGTTCCAAAGGTATGTGGTTTGAATCCATCAGCTGTTCCTGGCAGAAGGATGGACAATCTTCCCATGCAGGAAGGGACCATTCCATGCAGAACACCTTCCTTTGAAATTCAGAGAAACACAGGGAGCTATTGAATGATGGAATTGGTGAAGCTTTCCGGGGGAGGAGGCATGGAGCCATGAGAGATGGCTTGGTTTTCAGCAAGTAGCCAGGGAGTGAAGGCTTTTCCAAGCGGAAGAAGCCATCTGAGCAAAGGCAAGGGAATGGAAGATGTGAATGTGAAGAATGTGTGGGTGGCATGTGGGGTTCCCACTCGCTAGAAGTTATAGCTACAAAGCAGGTTTGAGTTAAAGACTTGGAGATAATACCCCCACAAGTGCCCAGCACATGCATCCTAGCTTTCCCATCTACAAAGAATGTGAATGCCAGGAAACCCTAGCATGCTGCTGGCGCCTTTCCCCAGGACTGTCAAGACCACATCAACTACACAATGTCTTCTGCGCTGCAAATCAAAGAGGCAAACAAGAGAGATTGTTCTTGTCTCTGAGCCAGCCTGGTCCTTCCTGGCCTGGCTTGTGACTTGGTTGCCCAAAGAGACCAGCAACTGAATTGCCATCCATACTGGCAGGTGCCCAGGAAAGCCTGTCATTGTGGGCCATTCTGCTACTGTCTCCCTCTCTGTAATTTCTTTACATGGAGAAACATGACAGTCTTTGAGATGCGGCCAGGCAAAACTACCAGGAGAAAAAGCGTCCCTCTCAGAGGCCACATCGTCTGTGACTGCTTAGGCCTCAGAGGATTATGGGACTTCCTTTTCTAGAAAGTTCATGAACTTGGGAGGCAATAAAATTCAGTGGCTACGAGTGCAGATTTGAGCACTAGAAACGTGTAGGTTTGAAACTTGAAGGCACATCGTTCAAATCCACCAGTTGCTCTGTGGGAGAAAGATGGGCAGTCTCATCCCGTGTGATTTACTGTCTCTGAAAACCTCCTGAAGGGTCTGGTTTGAGTCGGTTCAAACGAATGGTACACAACAAGTGAAAAGGCAAGGAGAAGGGAGCTCTGGTGGCTTAGTTATAAGGAGTAGTGCCACCAATCCAAAGGAACATGGTTTGGATATACCAACTACTCCATGAGAGAAGCATCAACAGTCTCCTCTCGTGCCAGTTACTGCCTCTGAAAACCCACTGAAAGGTCAGTTCTGATTCGATGATACAAGAAGTCTTAACAGCAAGAGGTCTAAAACTTGAACAAGAGACTGGTTTTCACTGTCCCTCAGTTTCCCAATTGGTTAGAGACGCACAGACTTGCTAGGAGGACCCAGCGGGATAAAACACGTAGAGAACATAGACTAGCGGAAGGTCCTTGGGAAACCCTTGGGAGAGTCAGCTGCCTTTATCATTATTACTGTGGAGAGTTAGAAATAAGATGTGAGGTGGAAGTCTGGTCCCTTCAGCCTGAGGATTTCACTGGGCTGCTAGAAGCCCTGGTGGGACCATGCATTATGTGCTGGGCTGCTTACTGAAAGACTGGTAGTTGGATTCACCTGCTGTTCCAAAGAAAAAAATTCAGACAATCTCCTCCTGTAGAGATTTATAGTCTTGGGGAGCCAATGAGAGGTCACCATGAGTCAGAACCTACATTCAAATGGTGGAGTTTTTTGGAGGGTTGGGTTTTTTGAAGGATGTTGTATGAAGTGAACCCTTGGCTTTTTTAGTAGACCAGAATATCCTGGAGTTTGCAAAAGTTCTGTCTAGTTCATGGCTTACCTCTCATTCATCATGAACAGAAAGCCACTCTGACCAAAGGATCGGTGTTTAGTAAATTGAGCTCATGCATTCATTCAACCAACATTCATGTTCTCTGGTTTCTCTTCAGCCACAGTTAACTTGAGCCCCGGAGACCCCCGATGGATTGGAGCCTGGTGGCTAGGACTACTTATTTCCTCAGCCTCCTTGGTTGTCATTTCCTTCCCCTTTTTTTTCTTTCCCCGAGCAATGTCCACAGGAGAACAGGTAAGGTTCTCAGAGCCTATTGATATTCCCAACAGGAATTTAAGGAATAGAGGTGGGAAAGTAGAATAAAATCACAAGTTAGAGCTACAAGTCAGACATATTCTGATGCCATTCATGATGTCAGAGCCTTCGAGGAGTAAGAGGGACTGGGAAATTCCCAAAATATGATGTTTCATACAGTGTTCCTGCATCATGCTAATATCTCAAGGATCAGGTGGGCCCAGAGAATCATCAACTTGGTATAATTTGGGCTAAAGTGTTAAGAGTCAGTAAAAGTGGAGTGTGTGGCATGGTGTAGTCAATTTTTAAAATTTTTTTAACTTTTTATCATTATTATTAACTTTAATGAAAGTTTACAGAGACTGAGGATTTCCATTCATTCATTCATTCATTGTTGCACTTTTCTCCCTGCCCACCCTTCCCTCCCCCCAATTCGCTCTTCTCTTTGGAAAGTAGAAGGAAAATTCTTTCATTGTTATACAATCCCTCCCCCTAAGTCCACCCCACTATGCAGCCTTCATTCTGGATTCCTGTCATGACAAAAATACCCAATCATATATCCCTTTTAAACCATTTTCTCCCTCATCTGCTTCAATGCAGTATACATTATTTATCCCCTCTTTCTCAGTCTCCCCCCGAAACCGATGTCAGTCCCATTTTCAACTTTTTTTAATTTAACACTCTATCAATGTCTGAAGTCGAAGGACTGAGTGTGACGGGAATGTCTAGGACTCACAAGTATGAGGAATGAGGGAGGAGTGAAGCATAACGTAAACAGAGCGGCTTCCCATGCTTCTTCCAGTCATATTTGCTAGAAAATGAAAACAAGAAAGGTTGAGAAGGTGAGGTGAGAGGCTTTGATGCTAGGCTGAAGGGTCTAAAAGCTGCTCTAATCCTAGGAGTCTTGAGCTGCTCCAGTAGTTGGGACAGCCATCTAGGAGGTAAAATGGTGACTAAATTGAGGTTGGGTGTTGGGAAGGAATAAAGCTAGAAATCTGAAGAGGGATCAATAGGAATGCAGATAAAAATGAGGGAAATAGCTGTGAAGGAGCTGAGGTCAGGGCAAAGGTAAACAGTCTTAGAATGGCACGAAGGATCTAGTAGATTCGAGAGCAGCTGGGAAGGACCCAGTTCATTGGAGACACAAACCAAAAGAAAGTTGCTGCTGCCTTTATCCCAACTCATAACCACCACCTGGATCACAGAGTAGAATTTCTCCTTAGGATGTTATGGCTCTGGGCTTTTAGAAAAAGATGCCCAGGCCTTTTTTCTGAGACAGTTCTGCGTGCATTTGAACCGCCAGTCTTTTGGTTAGTAGTTTAACACTTAACCATCTGTGCCTGTGCCACAGTTTTAAGACAGGTATTGAGTTTGACCTTTGGTAATGAAGTGTATTAAATAAAGGCACAATCAGGGAAATCAGGCAGGAGTAAGCATTTCAAAAGTTGGCCGCGTGTCTTGGCGGTTTGGGATCAGGCTGACTTGATTTTTTTAATCCAGCTGTGTTACTTAGGAACCAGGTGAGTGATTTGGGCAAGTTTCCTTGTTCCTCAGTTTTGTCTTCTTTAAAATACTAGACAGTATCTGTTGCAGACTGAGGGTAAAGTATATTAATAAGTATTAATAATGAGAGAGAACACCAAGAATGTAGGAGAAAACAGAGGTAAAGCAGGAGGCAAACAGTTCTCCAACAGCTGAAGCTGCCTTAGCTTCCCTTGTGTCTTTATTGAAAATTGCCAGGGAGCAAATCACAAGGAGAATTCAATGCAAATGAAGCTAAACTCTTTCTATTGAAAACCTTCTGCTTGACTCAGGAGGGAGGGGTTAGCAAATACAATGCAAGAATCCTGTAAACACTTAAGGATTGCCTTAGTGTCTTCCCCTGTAAACATTTAAGGATTGCCTTAGTGCTTCAGGGTGAATTCCAACTTGTATCAGCCTCCCTCATAACCTGAAGTAGCATTAGGTTCCTTACAAATATTTAGTATGAAAATTGGCTTCCCATAAGTATCTCTCTTGGAAGGCAGTTAGGAGGAATGAGAGGATACAAGGGGACTACTAGGCACAGCGTCTAGCAAAGAGCAAACACTTGATAAAGCAGGTTTCTATTATTGGAGATGTGTCACTGCACAGGGTCTTGTATTTGTGCTGGTGGTTCAGAGCTGGGGGCTCGGTCTGGAGTGGATGAGTTTACCAGAGTACACACATTCCGGAAGATAGATGCACAGCATACAACTGGCACAGAGTCTTAAACAAGACTCAACTTTGAGCAAGAAGGAGGGTGGGATCCCAGAGAAGAGACAGGAAGCAAGAACTGGAAATAGAGGACCTTCTGAAGGAAAAATAAGGAAGTTAGTTACCCCATCACCCCCAAGCTTGATCACTCCCTGAGCAGAAAGAAGAGTGAGTTTGGGTTACGTTAGATGATGTTAAGTTGGGTAAAGATGTTTGGCATATGAGGTAGGTTTTGGGGTGATGGAAGCTCCCCAATGATTTTCTCGCAGTAGTTCTGGAATATGAATTGTTTAGAGAAGGAGGTGGAATTTGGATAATGGCTTTGCAGGAGGAGTATGATCCTAGGGGGATTCCTTTTTTTTTTTTTTTTTTAATAAAAAAATCTAGACTTTCTAGACCACCACATTCCAGGAGCCAGCAGCTTTTGGAATCTGAGAATGACAAAAGAAAAAAATAGAGATGGCCGACAAAGAGGAAGATGCAGGAAGACACATTTTGGCATGGGTAACAGCCAAATTGGAGATCAAGTAAAAGGCCTGTGGGAATCTTGGCATGAATGCTTGCTGGTTGTCTGCCAAAGTGTTGAGCTTACTGAAATGTAGGCAGAGTTTGCTTCAAGAGAACATCCCCCTAATACACAGCTCAACCCCAACCTACATCCACACCTGGGTGGCTCACAACTGCCCAACCCAGAACTACAAAGGCCAGAAGAATCGAGGGCCCAGGCTAACTGCAGGAGCTGGGGCCATTAACACTGACTCTCTTTTATGCTTCAGAGTTCTGCTTCCATGGTGGAAGAGACAAGGAAGGAGGAAGAGGTCAAGTCAAGAGACTCTCTGGTGGATTTCATTAAACGTAATGGACTGGTCTAGCAGCCTTGGGTGGGCTGGCTCAAGGCACGGTGAGGGTGGGGGTGTACCCCAGGTCAAGTGGCAGTATACAGTAAGAGGCAGCAAACGGTTTGTAATTGGCTTTGACCCCTAGAATTCTTTCAGCTCAAGGGCATTCTTCCAGGGGTCTGCTAGGACTCTGCTTCTCTGTGTGAACCAGGAGACCCAAATTCAAGCCCAAATTTCCAGGAAGTCAGCCCCAGTATCTACCCATGACCCGAACCCTGTATTCCTCTCCTTCCTTCACACAGAATGAGGCTGTTATGCGAGGAGACTATTCCCAGTATTAAGTCATATTTCAATCTACTGCCTCTTGATTACTTTTCCTCACTTCCTAGTCTTATTTAAGGGAGCTCTGTTGGTCTAGTGGGTAAGGAGTTGCTCTGCCAACCCAAAGGCAGGTGGTTCCAATCTGCCAACTGTTGTTCCATGGAGGAAAGATGGGCCATCACCTCCTGTGTGATTTACTCCCTCAAAACCCACTGCGGGTGGGGGGGGGGGCGGTCAACCATGAGTCTATTACAACTCAATGGCACACAACAACCACAATCTTATTGATCCTTGAGCTCACACAGTGGGAGTCTGCGAGACTAGATGGGCTGAGTTGGACACTATACATTCTGATGCCTCAGTTTCTCTTCTGACAGTGGTCTCTTTGTAGGGTTCCCTCACATCTTTCTGAGGCTCCTCATGAACCCACTTTTCATGCTCGTGGTCCTGGCCCAGTGCACCTTCTCCTCTGTCATCGCTGGTCTCTCCACGTTCCTCAACAAGTTCCTGGAGAAGCAATATGGCGCCTCAGCGGCCTATGCCAACTTGCTCATTGGTGAGTTGAGAGGGCAATGTGGGGTGACTCTGCCTGGGGGTCAGGTTCAACATTCTGCTGGCCCATGAAGGGTGGTGAGGAGGCGTGTAAAGGCCAGACCGGACACAGACAGGAGACCATAGAGAAAGAATTTTAAGGACGTTTTTCCTGCATGGAAATTTAGGATATTCTTGGCAGATTTCTGAGGCCTCTATCTTTCCAGTCAGAACGCTATCTGAGGGTTTCCTCTTCCTTCACGGGTGGAGGCCATCAGAGGACTGGAAGTCTGACAGCCTCCCTCCCAAAGGCCCTGACATCATGAAAGGAACAAAGGAAGGGAGGAGGGGATGGGATTTAGGATTAGGCAAATGCCTTCCTTTCCAGGGACTTGAATGAATATCTGCTTGGGTAACAGAGTGTGGAGCCCAGTGACTCTCAGCCCTGACCACACTTCAGACCCCCGTCACCCAAAACCATCGATGTGTGCTCTAGAAAGTCTCAATGGCTCTGATCTTTCAAAAGTAGATTGCCAAGATTTTTTTTTTTCCTATGGCACTTAAAGATGGATTTGAACTGACAACTTTCTATTAAAAGAAAAAAGCTCAACTGCTTTTACCACTCAAGGATTTAGGCTTCCATTGTTGTTGTTGGATACCATTGAGATGGAACCAACCCAGAGCATCCTCCAGTGATTTTTTTTTCAGAGGCTGTAAATCACCCTGGAGGAGATTGCCCATCTTTTTCCCTCAGAGCAAATGGTGGATTCAAACCCCATACCTTTGTATTCGCAACGTGATTGCTTACCACTAAGCCACTAGAGCTTCCTTGGGCTTCCCTGGAAAGCTTATAAAAACAGACACCCCAGCCTAGATCAGCATCTCTGTTTTGACAACCGGAGTTGAGAGCTATTTGGTATGTATCTGATCGCTGGACAATGACTAAGGATGACAAAAGAAGACTTGATGCCTTTGAGCTGTGGTGTTGGAGAAGAATTCGGAATATCCCAAAAGTTTCCAAAAGAAATATATCTTGGAGAAAGTGAAACCAGGGTACTCCTTTGAGATAAGAATAGTGAAACGTTGTCTCACAACTTTGGGGGTTGTTGTTAGTTGAGGCCAGTCCTTGGAAAGGGATATCACGCTTGGAAAGGTGGAGGAGCAGCAAATCCCTAAACAAGATAGATAGGCCCAGAGACTGCAACAGTGGGCTGGAATTTATCAGAGATGAGAATGGCATAGGATAGGGCAAGGTTCCGATCCGTTATTCATAAGGTTGCTGTGAGTCGTGGTGAACTTGAAACCTAACAACAACAATGTGGGTCCATCAAATGCTCAAAGAAGGGTGGTGAGAAGAAGAAAGGCCGTTCTGCCATCAACGAAGTGGTGACCAGAGAGGACACCATCAACATTCACAAGCGCATCCATGGAGTGGGATTTAAGAAGCGTGCTCCTCGGGCACTAAAGGAGGTCCGGAAATTTGCCATGAAGGAGATGGGCACACCAGATGTTCGCATTGACACCAGGCTTAACAAAGCTGTCTGGGCCAAAGGAATAAGGAATGTCCCATACCGCATCCGTGTACGGTTGTCCAGAAAACGGAATGAGGATGAAGATTCCCCAAACAAGCTGTATACACTGGTTACCTGTGTACCTGTCACCACTTTCAAAAATCTACAGACCGTCAATGTGGATGAAAACTAATAGCTGATTGTCAAATAAAGTTATAAAACTGTAAACAAAAACAAACCAACAACAACGTGGGTCCATCAAATGCTCAAGTGTGAGGGTCAAATCCACAGGTGAGTGGGACCACATGAGCACGCTCACATCCTGTAAGCATTTCCCCAGGAAAGTCAGGCTTGGTTCTCAGAGCTCTTTGGTGAGATCACCCAGATGGTTTCTATAGAGAACATTTGTGATTCAAATACTCAGCAAACACTGCATTTCACCCCTGGCCTTCAGTCAACCTTCCCAAGACCAGAAAGGCCTCGCTGGCTGTGAGGAAGCAGAGCAGCAGAGATGGGAGCTCTGCCAGTCCCATGGCCAAGTCCAGGGCCTCAGAACAGTCCCAGGGTAGTTCAGAAGCACGCCGTCCATCGGTTCTTGAGTGGATGGAGTCCTGGCTGTTGGCTTCCCCAAGACCTCTGTACAGATCTTCGTTTTTTTGTTTCTTTGGTTTTTTTTGGTCCAAAAATTTTTTTTTTTAATTTAGTTTGTTTCTTTTT